GTTGTATGTGAGGGGGAAACTAAACTGTTCTTAAAATGCCTTGGTATAATCAAAGTCTAAATCTATTTTTAAAATATTACTGAATACTGAAATTATTGCTTCAATAAATATCAGCATATACCTTCAGTTACATTACTGAGTCAATTATAGACAAAGTGTAAATACCTTAGAGCATATCTGTAAATAAGGTGATGTGCATTACCATAAAGCTTATTAGTAAGGAAAACATTATTGAATCCATTTCAGGAAAGCCTAAGACAGGACAGGTGCAGTGTCACACAACTGTAATTCCAGCACTCAGAGGCTGACACAGAATAAGAGTTTGCCTCTGTAAGGAAAAAAAAGTGAAGAAGCAACAGCTTAGAGGGGGTAGGACAGAAAAAATCATAATGCCTGTCCATAGAAATCTGAAAAGATAACATCTCTCAGAGTTGACAACAAATATAGCTCACCAAAACTGTGAGATTAGAAAAATCTTACAAATAATTAGATTGAAATGCTCAAACTGTTCATTTTGGGCTGAACAACACTGTTAGTTATTTAGAGCTTATTCTTTGCAAAGCCTAAGATGTTGATTAATTTAGCTTGTCTCCTAGAATTTGTGGAAATAGTTGTTTCATATATTGAAGATTGCTTTAAGAATGTTGAAGGGCACTGGGCGGTGGTGGCGCACGCCTTTAATCCCAGCACTCAGGAGGCAGAGCCAGGCGGATCTCTGTGAGTTTGAGGCCAGCCTGGTCTACAGAGCGAGATCCAGGACAGGCACCAAAACTACACAGAATCCCTGTCTGGGGGCTGGGGGATTGAAGGGCATGTTATTTTCTAGAAAGCTTCCTCCCCTCCCCCGCCCCCTGTTTTTTAGTGTAAGAAATCAGCTGTAGGTATTCTCTAGTGCTTGACTTGTGTTTGTTGGATTTTTATCCTCATTATCCTCACCATTACACTTTGTTATTAAGTTACATGATTCCCCTTTGACTGAGTGTCTCAGCTCTATGTATCTTGGACTTGGAGAGTCTTATCAGCATCAGCATTCCAGGATTGAGTCTTCCTTGATAGGCCATGTTTGGAGTAAACCCTTAGTATGTATGCCTTAGTTTTCTTTAAAATACAAAGAACTGTGAACATACTGTTAATTTTTTTTTTTAGTTATTTTTAGGAACAAATAAGAAAACTAAAGTCTCTGTAGTTATGGTTTCCCCCTCCATTATAGCCTATTATGTAAAACACACAGAACAAGATAGCATGCCTGGTGGTTAAAAGCACAGGCTCTAAATGCAGACTGCGTGGGTTCTAATCCTCATTTTGCCTCTTGCCTGCTGGGCAGACATGGGCAGAGTACTAGAACATCTTGTTTTCATGTCTGTAAAATTGGGGGATAATTCTAGCTCCAAAGGATTATTGTCTGGATTGAAGATGTAATTCATTAAAAACATTTACCTGAAATAAAGCATAATAAATGATGTCTCGGTATTGAAATATCATTTTTTGTCATTATCAAGATGCCTGTTTGTTATCACTAAAAATGAGAGATAAATTTTGTATTAGAAATTTAAGACTCTTTAAAAATCCAGTATCTCTTTAAGAGTCCAAAGTCTCTTCATTGTGGGCTCTTGTACAATAAAAAGTTTTATGCTTCTTATTCCAAGAGAAAAAAACCAGAACACAGTTAAAATCAGATCAAGGCAAATACCATCCAGCAGTATAAATAGTTCATTGTTTAATATCTGGAACAAACACACACACACACACACACACACACACACACACACACACACACACACACACAAGATCTTCTGGGCTCCCAAGGGCTTGGATAGCTCCTCTTCTCCAGCATTACCATCCACATCACACATAGCTTGTCTTGTAGGTGCAGACAAACTCCACTCCACACTTGCTGTTGTCCTTAGAGGTCATCCCACAGTCCTGGCATCTCCAGTATGTTTTTATCTCAACTGCAGCTGGCTGCACCTTCACCAGTGTCCTCGCTGGACTCTTACAATGCCAACCCCCAGACGTTCCTCATGGTACTTTCCATCTTGCAGCTTTCATGCCACCAAAACATGTGAAGGACTCTTACACATTGTCAAGTTCAGCCAGGTTCAGCCTTGGCTTCCCTTGAACCCCAGCTCTGTGTACTGACCCTGAAAAAATACTTCCTAGAAGATTGCACCTCAGTGTTTTTCAGCCCCAGCTAACTAGCATCAGTTGTCCTAGCAAAGCAAAGGTTTCACTTTAGTGGTATGGGTTTCTTGATAGTCACAGCTAATTTTTTAATCTGAGCTGACCAGAAACCTCAAATTGTTAGTACAAAATATCACCCAAACTGCGCTGAGTCTTTGCTTTCCTCTGAACTTCACAAACCTGGCCTCTATCATCTGCATTGCCCAGGTGCACACTCACACACACACACACACACACACACACAGAGAGAGAGAGAGAGAGAGAGAGAGAGAGAGAGAGAGAGAGAGAGAGAGAGAGAGAGAGAGAGGAACCACTTGGGGTTTCTTGTGATTTACTAATTCAGCAAGCTGCCAATCAGTCTCCTGTTAAGACTCCTATCTTCTTTCTAAGTTAACATTGATCTTTAGGCGAGCAACCCTTGAGAGAAATAAAACACGTGGTCATCAAGGGTCTATTCTATATCAAGAAATAAATTATGTTGTAGAGGGTTGAGAAATTAGCAATATAAAGTACTCACTCCCTTCACTGGTTGAGTTACTTTACCTCTTCAAAAATAATTTATTCTCTCTGGAGCTAATAACCTATAAACTATAAGAGCTGTTTGTTTTTACCATATGGAGATAAAAAGTATAGTAAGTAACCATAGTTAGGGGTTTTGGAATGTAGTTTACTCATTTTAGTCAGTACAATTTCAAACAGTTATAGCATTGAAATATATTTGCTTAATGAGTTGAAGCCTGAAACTAAAATTAGATGTTTGGAAGAAAGTGAGGAAATGGGTTTCAATTTTTTCATTAACCAGAACATTGCATATTGAGTAAACTATTTCATTCTATCATTTTATCCTAGCTAATTGAACTTATTTTTCTCCCAGTTTGGTTTCTCTGTCATTTATTCAGAGATTAAAATATCTGTATCTTAATATGAAGTTACAGAAAATATAACTTTATAGATAATTATCAGAGAAAATATGAGATGTTCTCTTGCCTTACCAGCTCCATGCCCCACCTGTCTTGTCCCCCAACTTTGGAATCACCTGACTTGGATACATTACTCTTAAAGTCATGTCTCCAAGTCTGAAGGTCTTGCTGTGTGTATTCCAACAAGCTGATTTACTTAACTTCCTTTGTGCCATTCCCATGAATCTGAATTAATTATACTGCCACCTTTCAGAGATGTATGTTAGAAGTCACGTGTGCCTAATTCTGAAAATGGCTTCGTACATTAAGACTCATTTAATCACTGATGGGTAGAGAGAAACTGAGACACAGTTATTAGTCATAATTTAAAAATACGGCAATATCATGGAACTGTCTTCTACTGCAGGCATATAAGCTGCAGTATCAACTTCTCAGTCATTAGGAATATTGTAATTTGGCTAATATCTTAATGGTCAAGATGCTACAAGGAGATGAAAGAAGACCTGTATCCAGCATGCAAACAGTGATAGGGTAAGCACTTCCAGTTGGCTTTTCTTAGGCAGCATTGATTTGTGTGCATTACTGGGTCTGTGTAAGATGGTGTCCTTTTAACACTAGCCGAATTTAAATGTCAGTAATTTTTTTCTGCTGCAGATTAGTGTAATACAGAGAAATTTTCTGTAAGTAAGGGGAGGGAGTGGATGCTTGTTAATAGCCTAAAAGTAACTAATGAGGATGTGCAGTCAGACGATTGATTGAATGAATAGCTGCAGTCCTGTGTTTCTTTCTCGCTCGCTCTCTGCAAGCTGTGGAGAGGGAGGGGGAAGAGCAAGGCAGGGAGGGAGCACGAGAAAAAAAAAATGCTTTCTCTTAAGTGGAAGTAGCACGGATCCCAGGGGCCAGGAGGCCAGAAATGGAAGTTTAAACTGCATCTATCTTTTAAAGGCAGAACAGCAGGAATCAAAATGTCAGTCTCCGGAGTCACAATTTACTCTTTATTTTTTAAGATCTGGACGATAACACAGAATACTTTTTTTAGGATGTGTTTTTTTTCTTGTCCATGTTGAGATTATCTAATGTTATCTGAGAAGCTGGATTCTTATCTGTCTGTCAGTTGAAGTGGAGATGGGAAGCAGTTGTGATAAAGGTATAATATGTATAAGTATCGGTGTGCATGTGTATATGTGTATATGTATGTATCACTGTGAAAAAAACCTTTAAAATGTAGTGTTAATATGGTTTATGGCTGTTTAATTAGAGATCACATCATTTGCAGAATCTTAATCTTGTTAGGTCATTTGAACAGATCTGTGATTTCAGAGTAAGATGTAAGTAAGGTCATATAACCAGAACAAGGAGAAGCGGCTCTATTTTTATATCTGCATAGGCATGTATATTCTTTTATCCTGCAGCACCTTTCAGTCTTCTCATAGCTTTTGCTCCAGTCTGGTGAATCATCTGTATAGAACTGAACTTTAACCTTTTTGTAAGCAGTGTCAAATCATGCTCAACACTAATATTTCTGGTTCACAAAAATATAAGAAATTTCTGATTCACTTCTAAATGGCTGATAGAGAAGCAGAGCCATATGGTACAAGATAAAATTATTAAGTGAACCTGAAAACCTTAAACATATTATAACTTAGAAAAATTACTTCTTATGCATGCACAGATAAAAATACAAGTTGTCTCTTAGAATAGATTCTTAACCCTGACCAAGTTTCTTTGTTTCCATAGGTTAAACATCACAGAGATACCTAAAGCATGTTGAGATAAAAATGTAATAGACTTTTAAAGAAAACAGCTTTTTTGTGTGTATGAGGAAAACAATTTTATAGTTTAGGGAAAGTCTGAAATTTTGGGTTCTTCATGATGTTTCCACTTCCTCCACTTTTCCAGAGGTGCCAGCAGAAAGGTCCCCCCGCAGACGGAGCATCTCAGGGACCAGCACATCAGAGAAACCGAACTCCATGGACACTGCGAATACCTCCCCTTTCAAAGTACCAGTAAGTGTTGCTTACCACTAAAATATATATAAATATATATATATATATATATTTATATATTCTCCTCAGAGTTGAAGTAGTCCAAACATTTTGTTCCTTAAGAATTTAATTACAATACTGAGGATAAAGGCCAGAAGTATACATTTCTATTGATTAACTGTGAATTATGTCCAGTCTAAGGTCTATTAGATTTTAAGGACTACTATTTTTGCTCGTGGGCTATTTTACAAATACAACTAAATACCTTAAATCTGAATTTTTCTGAATTACAGAGTGCAAATCTTTGCAGGTATCTATTAATCTAGTTATTAGCTAAAAATATATTAATATTATAATAAGTACAAACATTTGCCAAAAGCACACTGAAATAGGAAGACCATAGTGGAGCAGTAGAGCTGGCCTTTCTTTCTCATTGCAAACCTCCTATTTTTTATACTTTATTTTATAATGTTTTATTATTTGTGTGTGTGCGCATGCATGCGTCTATTCACTGCAGTGCACATGTGGAGGTCAGAGGACAACTTTGTGGAGTCTGTTCTCCTCTCTTCTACGTCTATATGGATTCTAGGAACTGAACTCAGGTCATCGGGCTTGCAATAAGCACTGAACAATCTTGCCAGCCTCAAGTAACTCAGATATTAAGCCATCTCTTCCCTTGAAGTATTGGGTAAAAAATGAACCTATTTTGTAAACATATGAAAATTTGTATGTTATAAAAGACATATTTAAAGAGAATTGCTTCAAGAATTGGTCATTATTCTAAGTACAATGATCAGTATAAGATAGAAATAAACTTTTCTTTTGGGGAAGAAAACAAACTTTTTCCCTCTTAATGTAGCTAAACTAATGTTCTTATTCCAATACTTTAAGTTGAGATGGCTTTTAAGTAGAACCTGTTTATTTCTGTGAACTCTGAAGAGCAATATACTTACCTCTTTCACATTAAGAGTGGGTAGAGTTTGTGTGTATTCTGTTTCTGTAAAAACCTTTCAGAGTTTTACAGACATCTATAGACTGGCAAGTGAGTGCTACATTAATATTGCAATCATGGTGTGGCAGCTACTTAAGAGCACCAGATGTAATGTCCTACTAAATTTCTTAATTCTATAGATACAGCTATATATGTTTTAATTTTCATGAATGAAAAAAGCATGTTTCCTTCACCTTTTCTTTCTTTCAAACAGCTCAGAAACCAATATAGCTTAACATGTATTAGTAGTTGTGCTGGGATTTTTGTTTGTTTTTTGTCAACTAAACATATCTGGGAAAAGGAAATCTTAATTTAGATAATACCTCCATAAGATTGGCCTTTAGGCAAGTTGGTGGAGTATTGTCTTGATTAGTGATTGATGTTTGGGGCCCAACCCATTATGGGCGGTGTCATGCCTGGGCTAGTAGGCCTGGATTGTATAAGAAAATAGACTGAGTAAGCCAGTAAGCAGCACCCCTTCCAGACCACTGCATCAGCTCCTGCCTCCAGGTTCCTGTTCTTATTTTGCTCCGTGAGGGACTATGATGTAGTAAACCCTTCCCTCTCCAAGTTGCTTTTGGTCATGATGTTTTATCATAGCAATAGACACCCTAACTAAGACAGTAATGCAGTGTATTGTACAGCAGTTCATGCAATAACAGTGATCCTGAATTATTAAGAAAAAATGAGATTTTCTTTTGTTTTATTTTTTTTCAAGGTGTAACTGAGTATATTATATATCAATGAATACTACTTAAAACTACCTGTGTACAGAGTTCAGTGATACACTTGACTGGACTAAGTTTCAATTTAAGGTTTTCACACTGTCTTGCTGGAATCAAATGGTGCTTTCTTACATTTTTTCTTGAAGTACACAGGTGAGAATAGCTCTCTGAATTATAGTAACAATGAAGACTGTCGTAAATTGTGTGTGAAGTTTGTGTTCAGGCTTTGTAAAATTTTAATTAATTAAGAACTGCAATTTTTGCTTATTCGAATAATAAATTGGCAAATAATTTAAGAATTATCCTAATAAAAACTAACCATTTGTAAGTAGAAGTTTCAAAGCAATGAAAGAGAAGTACTTAAGACCAGGCAATACTTACAAACCATGTACTCACTTGATAATCATAGAAGTAATGAGGGAAGGAAAAAGGCTTCTTACAGTCACAAAGCCATGTATTTCTAGGAGAATTAACCACTCAGCAGTCCTCAGCTAGACATTTTTCTAAAATGAACCATCAGAACAGAACTCAGTTTTTTATCAGCTCTCCCTAAACGAAAAGGACAAATAGCTAACATGTTCTAGTAGTCCTGGAGCGTGTCATCATATTTCAGAGTATAGAGTGTACAGAAGTTGACACTGATAACTGTCATCCCTAATCATGAAAAAAATGAAATTGTATTTGTTCTTATTTTTTAAAGTATAACTGGATATATTATATATCATTTGAGAATACTTTATACCTTGAAAATAGGTGATCTTTATAAAACTTACTCTCCAGAAAGGTCTGTTTCATGCTAGATAAATAACACATTTTTATTTGTTGTTCGGCAGAATCATAATGTATATAATGTATTTTGATCATCTTCACTCCTCATTTTCCTCTTTTAGTTTGTCATCTCTGTTTCTCATTAACAGTGAAGATCTATTCTGATATCTCTGTAACCGCCCCAATTGCTCCATAGAGTACCTTACACATAGCAAACATCTGATCAATAGTTGTTGAGTGAATAAGATACACATCAATATACAAGATCCAAATAGAATAAGTTTATCCCTCATTTAGTCTCTTGGTGTAACTGATGTCCCTAGTAAATTGAAATAATAAACTTTTGCTATATAGTAAACATTTCATAAGAGATTATTTTAAATGAATGTGCATGTGCAAAATAGTTTTTTTTTCCCTCAATAAAGAGAACTTTTAATTTACCGTTAAGATTTATGTCTAGAGTATATTCTTTATATATTTACATTTGGAAATTGAAACTAGCTAGAATTTTTATTTAGTAATTTGTTTCTTGAAATATTTCTTTCGAGCCCTTTAGATATGCTTATGTACAAGCTTACAATGTTTTTGGTAGTTGTGAGTTTTGTCTTAGATCCTTAAAAAATTATAATCATTTGAATAGCTTTTGCTTCTTAAAAAAGATCATTTTTTTGTTTGTTTTTGCTAGGGTATATTTTTGCCTTCGTATATTTGTGCTTTTCTCTATATAAAACATTCTTTGTATATTTTATGCATTGCTCAAATGACATTTAAGTGATTTTATGGCAGAAATGGGGAAAAACTGACTAAAATAAGTTATCTCTACTTAAATTTAATTCAAAAAGAAAAACAAACGTATCTTAAAGTTGTATACAGTTGTTTCATACATAGTAGAAACTATGGCTTTGGAACAGGCTTCTTTATACCCTATTTATAAAGTGACTATTGATTTTTAGGATTTTTGTATGACTTCTACTTAGATGATACCATCCATTTGGCATTGAATAGAGAGAGCTGCTTGTTTTCCGGGCCAGGTGTTCAGCTTAGTGTTCTCATTTCCATAGCACAATGATCTGAGTTGGCCTTGTCTATAACACAATGCAGTTGCAGCTGCACCATTTGTATTAGCTTTGAGCTTAGCTCTGAAAGAATCCAGACACTAAAAAATATGCCAAGACACCCAAAAAGCATAGTTGAACTAAGGCAGTAGCTGAATATTCCTGTAAAACCTTCCTTATCCCCTTGTTACTATGACACTTGACCAGTCCCAGTCAAACAAATATGTAAATATAAGAGATTGTCAAATGATTAAACCTTTGTATGGTTAAAAAAAAAAACCCTCTGGAAAATAAAGTGAAGACTATATTAAAGTCCTGTATAAAAAGATATTGGGGCTGGAGAGATGGCCCAGCATTTGACCACTGCTGCTCTTCTAGAGAACCCAGGCTCAGTTCCCAGCACCCACATTGGGGTTCACAGCCAACCATCTGTAACTCCAGTTTCAGGGGATTTGATGCCCTCTTCTGGCCTATGCACATATATGTTGCACAAACACATATGCAGGAAAACACTTATACACATAAAATAAATATTTTTTAAAAGCTTCTTAAACACCAAAAAAGACAGTATCCCCTTTCTTAAGTCTCATGCTATCAGGATCAGCTGGTATTGGTTTCTGTTGTACCTAATGCCTTCTATATGGTCTATATATCTACTTTTCCAAATTAAACAGACAGTTTCATGCACAATTATGAAAGACTAGAAAGTGTTCATTATCCAAACCAGTGGTTTTCAATTCAAACTAGCCATAAAATTTACCTTTCATAAAATACACTGATAGTTAAAGATAAGGCTGATCATCAGTGTTTTGTTGTTGTTGTTGTTGTTGGATTTGTTTGTTTGATTTTAAAAGATTCCCAGATGCTTCTACTATGTACCCTGGAATTGAAAATTGTTTGCCTTCATGATTGGTAAAGTATGAGGGACTCTTTTGCACCAATCCACCTACAAACATTGGTGCTTTCTTTTGTACCCTCAAGTCTGACATTCAAAACTAATCAGTAGCACTTCCTCTGTGGCCTGCTGTTGCTCACATGTAAATTGCTCTACAACACATTAACTGCTTATATATGTGTTTGCCATGGTCAGTTTAGACTACCAGTCTGACAAACTGTTTACTTTACTGTGACACAGTGGCCAACATAAGAGTCTCTCTTAGGAGTAAAATAATGAAGTTCAGTTTATTGCATCCAAGCTGAAAAACTATTTCAAATTTTATATCCACATTGCTCTATCCACATTGCTCTTATATTCCAGGAAGACAGTTACAGCTGTTTCTCCTGGTACTTACAGAGTTTGTATCCATCTTTTCTCTTCTTTTTCACTAGCCATCCATCCAGAGTTAAATCTGTAATAGAATCACCCTGTAATGATACCTCTTTTAATAAAGAATATATTTGTTCCTGTGTGCATGAATATATAATATAAGCATATATAAATACATTATTACCGGAGATAATAATAACATGCTAAACAGAAAG